GTATTTCTTCTATCTATTCAAACATGGTATAGATAGCTTGTTATGTCGCTTTATTTTGTGAATTTTTAAAATGATGTAGTATCAGGCATGTCCTCCGTAGCTTAATTTTGCCACTCAGCAAAGTGTCTGTTTTAGCTACTTTTCTCTTGTTGATGACACAAAATATCTGACACCCAAAATTAAAGGGGCAAAGGGTTTTTTTAGCTCATGTTTTGTGTAAGTTTCAGTCCGTAATCTGCTATAATCAAGGCAGGGTGGCAGAGGAGACAGACATTGCAGTGAAGAAATAGTTCATGTCAGGCAAAAGACAGCACAAACAAATGGGGGACAAGACAAACCTCTTTTGTTCCTAATACTGTGTGCAGGCTACTGGATTAGGGCAGTGCCAAGCTAATCAGTGGACTGCTTTATTAATCAAATACCATCATCCTAGCATTGGACACTCTACATGCAGCCTCCTCTGTAAAAGCCCCACCCATGACTGCATAAGGTTTTGGGGGGATGTCTAGACACAAGCCGTAGCAATGTCCTGATACTTCATTCACATCATTTATGTGAATTTGTTGTTTTTTGTCCAAATTATGCATAGAGCACATTGTACAGATACATCTTCTTTTTTCATTCTGATGAACCTTTTCACTATTAATTTTGTTATTCCTGCAGTGCTGCGAGAACCATCATGCTGTATGTCTTCATGCACAGATCTTCGTGTTGCCCAAGACTAAATAACAAGAAACATAGTCCATAGACAAAAGGAAATTCATTCATCTATTTCATTTTACAGTACTCAGATATCCTGTTAAAATGACTACAGATATTTATTTTCCACCAGCAATATCTAAAAAAGATACAGTCTGCTGAGAAAACAGAGTATCATGAGTAACATTTAAGAACTGCCATTCCTTCCCATTTTCATCACTTTTTAAGATTATGAAGTATTGTATTTATCCAGGCTTGAATTCTTTGATATTTGTCTGGCTTCTAGTGCAACTTTGAAATGTTTATCACTTGTGTGTATTTCTAGTTCTATAAATAATCTGATCGATATAGGCATTTTTCAGCTTGCCTATATTTCAGTTGGGTTTAGAAGTCTCTTTTAAAATAAACTTTAAGAGTTTTAAGATATATTCTGAGTTTTAGTCCTTCTCAGTTATAAACAATGCAAACATATCCAAATTAATGCTATGTGAATTTTTCTTGGTATCACTTGTCTTACTGGCATTTTCTTCAAGTATAAAATATTTTGGCCTTTTTCATGTATTATTCTTTAAGAAGATATGACCTATCCCAAATTTCTAAAAACACTTTGCCTACATTCCTTTGAATAGATTTTAAAATGCCTTAGCAAATTTAGAGCTTTAATTCACTTTAGATTTTATTATATTTATTTAAAGATAAATGACAGAAATCTAGAATCATAACAGCACCTTTTTCGCTGCATATAAAACATACATTTCTTTGTGTGTGATAGGTCTATATCTGGGATTTTTACTTTTTTTCTGCTAATGGATGTTTTTATACATCTATCTCACCCTTTTGTAATTACCACAATTTTAAAAGAAATCAGAGCTTCTGGAGAAAAACCTTGTTCCAGAGCTAGGACAGCAAAAGTATAAAGCGAGTCAAGCATATCTTGGGCCAGAAAGTAGTATTACAAAATTATGGAGTCATGTCCAAGAGACCAAGGAGATGGCCTGAAGGAGCTTGTGCCAGCCAAATTTGCACCAATTTTTAGTTCAAAATAAGTGACAGTTGCAACATATTACATCCTCTTGACTACAGTTAGAATACATCTTTTAATGTAGCTATGAATCGATATGGGAAAAGGAAGCCCTTAAAAAACAGTGCCATTTGTTGTTAAATTATTTGCAATGTGAATCTCATTTTTTCCTTAATTCAAGATTTCTTAGAAGTTGTGATTTTAAATTACCAGTTAAATAGATAAGAATGGTGATATGTGTTTGTGGTAATAATGGTAGAGATTTGTGCTATTTACAATTAATCTCTGATTTTTAAAAATTAGAGTTAATACAGTTATCTCAAAGAATTTGTAATTTTTTTGAAGGCACTGAGATACCGTGTGTAGAAAAATTTTACAAAATAAATTCTGTTAATTTTTCCTGTGTTAGATACAACCCCCTCATTTAAATACATATTCTTTTATTTAAAACATGAAGTTTTACTAAACTACACATATAGCTCTCTGTACATATAATATCTACAAAAGTGATAGAAATTATTTTTCTTGCAGCATGAGAAGTCTAGGGTAGCAGTCATACTCTATGATGTCATTTCTCAATTTTTTAAAAGTCCCATCTATTGTTACACTATTCCCATATATCGTTACACTATTTTTAGTAGGTATCTTTCTTCTTTATGGCCACCTCTTGTTCATGAGAAAGTTGTTTTGATTTTTCATTTATGGTCCCATTCTGTCCACGAAGAGAGAAGAGTGGCACTTTGGTAGTCATACTGGAAAGACTGAGTACACAGAGATATACCCAGTAGTCATCTGCATATATGTCATTGGTCAGCGCTGTGACAAGTAGCTGCTCCTATAACTGGTGTAGAACTAAAGAGAGAGCTGATTTGTAGAAAGATGGCTTGGATGATCATGCAGCTTTGTGGAGGACGAAATGAAGTCTTTCAGGAGAGTGTGTAAACAACAAACAACTTAGGGCCTAGGAGCAATGCCAATTATGAAAGATGAGCAGAGGAAAAGAAGTCTGCAAAGGAAATAAAAATCAGCCAGCCAAGGAGATTGGGAAGCAACAGGAGACTTTAGAATCATAGTTCAGCAAGTATTTCAAGAACGGCCATGAATCAAAGATAACAAGAACTGCAGAAAATGTGAGATCATACACTTTTTTTATAATATCCAAAATCGTGTGATTTTTCCTCTTTTCTTCTAGTTGTGACATGCTATAGCTAAGAAATCACTTCTCCAAGGTCCTGCTATCAGGGCCCCTAATACATGATTGGTCTTCTGTTAAGCTATCAGTAGGCTTAATTCACTTCGTTTTCATCATTTTTCAGGAAATCTAAAGAAAAAATCCTAACAAAATTTTTAAGGAAGAAGTCTAAATTCACTGCTCAGAATGATATTTTCTGTGAGCCATGTTTTCCAGAACAACCAATTCCTTGGGACATATCTAAGGATCAGTCTCCCCAGGGCCAAGCAGAAGGGATAATTTCTTTGCAACATTCTGTTTTCTTCTAAAACACTCAGTTCAACACAAAACAACAGAGAAAAAAAAAAAAAAGAAGAAGAAAGAAAAAAAGAGGGGGGAAAAAGCCCTTATCTACACAGTTGAGATGAATAGACTTGATTGGGCTTGCACACAGCAGGCAGGTGATGGCCACTGCCTATCTATTTCAGGACTAAACTTCAGTCTGGCCACAGGTGTTTTTCCTTTTTTGGATCTGCGGCCCTGCCATCATTAAGTTTGCCTGAGGCAGCAGACAGCATCTGAGAGACCAAAAGATAGGGGGAGGCAGGGTGCAGAGACAATCCAGCTGACATTTTAAGCAGGAAATGCAACCATCTGAATGTAAAGAAGATAAACCCTGTCTCTACACAGATTGTTCACTCAGGGGAAATTGAGGTAAAATATGACAGAGTTTAGAGAAGACGAACACTGTGTGTGCTTTTGCGATCACCCTTGCTCCTGACACCTTAATGGTCTCTTTACTGAGAAAGACTGAAAAAAGAGGAAAGTGAAGTTTAAAGTTTTACAGTTTTCTGTCCTGAATTTGATAATTATTTAAAAATATGTACTAAATCTATCAACATAAATATAAAACAGATACAGATAGGATATGGACTTTGAGGAGATTCTCCTTAATATAGGTAGACTGTGTTGCTGTCTGTGAAGTATATTGCTCGAAAATTCTTTAAACTATGATATTTGAGAAAATTCTTTAAAATTCTTGACTTGTATCCCTAGTAATTTCTCACTTATCAACTGTTCTGAATTTCTTTCACAAGGGTCAAATATTTCAAATTTGAGTTTGGGCTTCACACCCAAGTTCCCTTAGAAAGTGAATATATTTAATTTACCTGTGAATATAAATGAAGCCATAGCTTGAGATCATGATTTTACAAGAAGGGTGCTACGTAGAAAGAACAGAAAGGGGAAAGTGATCAATGTGTAGGCAGTGTTGCTGAGACTTTGTACATGGGTTTGGATTTTTTTTTTACGCTGATGAGTATATAAACTACCCTGGAGTGTATATTAGTAAATATATGCAAAATGCAGATTGTACTTCTGCATATGAAAAATTTCAAATCATAAGAGGAAAAATTATGTAAAATAAAATGAACATCGTTGCTTACATAATTTCTAAACATAGCTTAAAAGTACAGATTCATAGATTTTTAAAATATAGGGATCATCGGGAAAGTTAATGGTTTCATATGCTTGTTTTTCTTTTTGCTTTTTAAACAGAGTAGAAGGATTTTTCCCCAGTTGTTGAAAGCTGATTTCTATAAAAGATTATAGAATCTTTTATTTAAAATGATCTTAAATTTTCATGAAAGCCCAGTCACTTATTTTGTAATCAAAATGTATTTTTAAGAAAATTCTTTAAAAATTATGCATTGTGCCATTCCTGTAGTTGTAGGGAGGAAAATGATGCCTTATATTAGAACAAATACTTTTTAAACATCAGCCCAGAAAATCAGCAGCATTGCCAGAGTTAGAGATGAGAGATTTATCTTGTAGGTCCTATTCTAATATGCTGGATATTCTTGTCTTTCAGTTATCACACAAAACCATCCTTGTAGCTCCAGAGAAAAAATTGATTTTTTTTTCATTAAGTGAGCCAAAGACATTTTGGCAACCACTTTCTAAATTACTACAAAGGCTATTATTTCTCAGTCTCCTACTTCCACCCTATTCACAATGGTGAGTCAGTTTCAAATCATGAACTCATTCCTCTCAGAAAAGGAGTAGGTGATATTTACATGACTGTCTCCTTTACAGGGATAATGCTTCCAGGGGGACTTCAGAAGTGCGAATTGTGTAATCTGCTGAGATACTGCTCAAGGTTCTCCATATTTGGAATCTGGGAATGGTTTCCTCAAGCTAGAATTACTTAAGAATGCTCCAGGGGTGACCTGACTGCTGTTGGGCTACAGAAACTGTGGTGAATTGTATCTGGACTTGCATGTAAATCACTGCTTGGAGGTACTAATGATGATAAACAGTCATTAACTTTGAGTTTCATCCCAGAATCTGAGTCCTGGGCTAATGGATAATAGAGAAGGATTAGACAGTTTGCATGTGCATTCCAACGGGCACACGGAGTCTTAGCTTATTAGGAGAAAATGCTCTGTTCTTGATGTTTATCACTATGATACTTTCAAGGGTCAACAGATGCAGACAATTTTTTGAGTTTTAAATGCTCCTGTGCATATATGAATCATAAAATATAGTTTTTTGGGGATAGATTAAGAATAAAGCTACAATGAAAGAAATCATGATTATAAATCAGCTCCCTTTCATCACTGGCATATTAGGGAAACAGAAGTAATGTCTCTTTTTCTAGCTCTTCGTTAATTATTTTACAAAGTATAATCTTTATTATGGTATTTTTTAGTGGTGCTAATATAAAGCCTCAATGTTATGAAGAAATCAATCATGTTTATTCAACAGACATGGTTGTAGCCTAACTTGCTGAAGGAAGGAGGACTGTAGGGAGGGCACAGAGTGAGAGCAAAGGGCCTGCCTGCCTTTGAGGGCACTGAGGTGTCCAGGAGCCACAGACATAAGCAGTTAGAAGCAGAGGAAGGAGACGGGTCACAAGACAGTGTAAATCAGAGAAGGTTTCCTTGTAGAACTGATGCAAAACTAGGACTTCAAAGGACTGATAAAGTTTGAATATGAAGAGATAAGACACCAAGAATTCTAGGAGATAGTGTAAGGAACTAAAAGAGTAAGTAAGATACAAAGTCTGAAATACGTTTTGAGAAAGTGAAAAACACTACTCACAAGAAAAGATCAACTGGGATGAGATCAATGAGAAATAAAGGAAGGGAAAACAAAATAAATATGTATGTACACATATTTACACAAATACATATATATATATATATATATGTTCATTGAAGGGTGCTTACATTTGTTGATTAATCTTGCATGCATATATCTTGTAATCTGAGCAACTACTCTGAAGACAATACACAATATATTCACCATTGTTCACTTGTTATTATCCTGTTTTGAAACTCTGTATTGTTCCTATTTTTGCTCACTTTTCTCTCTTTAAAATAAAAGAAATTGAATTAAAAGAATTCTAGAAGAAGAAACTAATGCAATCAAAAGCTTAGAAAATTAGGTAGAAAGACTGACGGCCACATGCTGGAAATAAGAAAGTTCATTTCAACTGAATTTTTATTAATGAATTCATAATTTGATTGTTTGAGTGCTTAGCAAAATGTATCTTGTTGCAAGAATACTTTCACTGCTTTATGTATAGGATTTATTACTGCCTTTGGAGGAGATCGCAAGTGGTTATGGGAAAGACCAAAGACCATGAGGGTGATTGATATCAGTGCAGCTGCGGAAACCCGTCATGACAAAGGAGAAAACTGCTCAGGTGGGCATCTCACAGAGACTCTAGAAATAAGTATGTTGAGTGGGTAAAAAACTCTACTACCGGGCAGTGGTTGGATAACATTTTTGACTTCTGGATTTTATCATCAATGTTCATTTCAGGAAGTTTTGTTTTGTTTTTATTATATCCCTCAGATTATTTTTCACACTAATTTATACTATTTTCAAGATTCAGCAACCAGTGCTACCTGCTGAATGAAGCATTCTTTCCTCTATAGTTTTTGGCAAGTGTTTGTCTTATCCTTTATTAGATACCAACATAAATAATCTTTTTTAAGCCTATTTATTCTAATCCACCGCATCCCACCCAGGAAGTATTTTGAAGTAATACTGGTGGTTGGTAGAGAAAGGAATAAAGAATTACTGATTAAATGCATACATTTTAAAATTGCAGGTCTGTTTGCTGTTTTACTATGAACCATACATATGTTTGTTCTATTTTCCTTTGTGTCATTAATTATTGATTTGATTGCTTAATTCTTCTTAAGAAAGTACATATCTGCACAGTCTGCAACGTTGGCCATCCCACCTATGATTTGGGGCTTTAAAATTAGTATTCTGAGTGTGTGACCCAACTCCAATACTTTAGTCAGCAAGAACCAAACAAAAGTGACGATCTACTTACCAGACTTGGAATTTTGCTGTATATGGGAGGGGCAGATTGGACCCTCATTGTCCTAGAAATTGGGATTTTAATGGTGTTTTGTTTACTATTCCAGAATCACATCTGAGATTTCCACCGATGATTTTGAATCTTTCTTTTTATGAAATTCCCTTGCACACCTCATCTTCCCTGTATTTAGTTTTTGTGACCACTGTGATTCTTGGCATCCTCCTGACTCTTAATAATGCTGACTGTCTACAATTTCTTCCTCCATTTTTTTGAGTATCTTTTTTATAGAAGCCTATAAACTACCTCATTAATCAGATAGTGTAAAATCCAATTAGAGGCATTAGAATCCAGAAATACAAGTGTTAAGGAATGTATTTCTTGATTGACAAGGAAGCCAAATAGACCTATCTATTTAGAATCTTAGCAACAATTAGCTGCCGTAGTTTCATTTATTGTGACATAAAAAATCTGGTTTACTGAGAGCTCTATTGAAGAAGATTTCTATGATATGCACCATGAGAAAATATCTTCAAACTGAAATGATTGTTTTGCTGTAATAAATTGAACCATATGTACACTATGTTATTCAATCTTTTTTCTTCAAGGCATAAATTGATATTAAAGAACATTTAAGTCATAACACATGGTTATCCAGGCATGAACGAGGCAATAACCCATATAAGTTGTCAAGGTGAAGCCAAAGCATTTATTAGAGGTTTGTGTTGTTTTTGAAAAGTGCATGGTTGGATAAACATGGATTAGTGCTATTATGCTGCTACGATGACTCAAGTGTGTTTTTACAGTGTCAGTAATTTTTATGTTTAAAAATCACTGGTGCAGTATATTAGCTATAATTTATGTTTATCATCTTGTGTACTCTAATAGGTTTCAACAAACCATTTAACACTTCAGCTTGTGCATATACATTACTTAATAGGTATTTATCTTTAAAAAAGAGATACTTAACGGGACTTTCAAAGCTTGCAACTGCATGCTAAGAGAGAATACTGCAGTATGTCACATTAACTTTCTTTTTCCTGTTTGCAGTTAACTTTGAACAGTCTGGCCACTTACTTCTTTGTTTGATGCACCTCAGAACAACATGAGAAGACTAAAGTACGTAAAGTCCTTGTCAGCAAGAATGACACCAACTTCTCCCAGCACTGAGTGTCCGTCACACTTGCTAAGTAGGGTGGCTGCATGATATAGCCAGCACAGCTAAAAATGTGACAAAGGTCCAGCGATCAGTCACCACATTGTGGTGTCCTTTCAGTTTATTTAAGAGTAACTGTATCTATGAGGCTTCTCACACATGGTGTGACCTGGGTTTCTTTCTTCGGCAAGGCTTGGAGAGAAATGTAGGGGTGAGTACAGAGGAGGAGGAGTGGGCAGGGAGTCAGATGGGACTTCCTAGTCACAGGAGGTTTCTTGCAGCAACACAAGAGGAGAACTTCATTTATCACAACACTATCGATTCTCCCAAATAGTGCTATGCTTTATTGTTTATGCTGCAATGATGACCTATTTCTCTTTTGGATATTCTACATAGATGAATTACTGGAGTTTAGTCTTTTTGTAAAGGAGATTGATTCATTTTTAAAACATACTCAGAATAGGGAATGTGGTGGTAAGATTTATGTCTTTTTTTAAACTATATTTTGACTTACTGACAAGGATGACAAAGATGGAATTGGAGGGAAAACACTGAGGAAACTAGTCACTGCTAAATAAATGATGTCACTTTACTCATTTTGTGAGATAGACAGGTAAGGGTTTGTTTGGAATCCTGAAATTATGAATATACTGATACACTCAGTAATAAATATTTAGAAAGAGACTATAAATTCTCTGAAGTCAATCAAGCACATGAGTTGCCTAGGTTAGCAAACAAGATAGATTTATTATTCACTAGAGACAAATTGACCAAGATGGACTGTTTAGTATCATGAACTAACTTTTCCCCTGTGAAACCAGTCATGTCACTTTGATACCTTAATACAAACTGTCCTTTACAACTTGATAATCTTTTCAGAATTGACAACTTCCACCAACTGAACCAAAATTGTTTCTTAATTTCAAACTTCACTACTTTCATGATACTATCAAAATTTTATGCAAAATATTTTGGACAATTCATATGAAAATGAATATAATTGTGTTTCCCATGAAGAGAATTAGAGGCAAAACTCATTAGCATTCTGCTTGAATATTTTCAATTTCAAAAGAATCAAGAAAGACAATGATCTAGCCAAAAATGTCGGATAGAACTTTCTGCAGTAATGTAGAACTTTCTGAAAGATTGCATCTTTTTATATTTGAGCTATCTAAGACAATAGTCAATAGTCACATACAATTGAATACTTGACAAGTGGCTAATATGACTGAAATTGTATGTATTTTTAATATTAAAAATCGCTCATCACTAATAATTACCGTATCAGATAGTGCCAGGAGATCAGCCTTGTAAAACAAAGTCCTGAAGAACTATTTACTTGTGGGATCAGTACTGGATTGAAAAAACAGAATTGATGATTGTGGGAAGACAACCACAAGTGCCATCTTTTAAAAGTCACTCGAGGACAAATAAGAAAGCATAAGAAAGAAGAAGGAACCCATATAGATTTTTCAAACCTGCATCATGAGAGATTTAATTGTAAGAGCAAGATGTCGATAATTGAAAACTAATGGCAGTCTATGTGAGTAAAGACCAAGTTACAACAAAACAGATGAAAATTTGTTTAAGCTTATATTTAGAGAGCAGAGTGTATACCTAGTAAGGAAGTATTGATGCACGTAAGTATCTTTGCTATTCATATTTATCTTTTGCTCTAAATAAGGATTTTTGTAAGTAGAAAGTAAATATGTATGCACACATATTTATAGATAATGTATATTATATAAATATATATCTGTATTTATACAGTGATAGCTTGGTTCACAAACTTAATTTGTTCTACAATTTTGGGAAAGATATTTGGAAAAAAAGACCACAGTCCTGTTTGTCACCTGATGTAGAATTTGCAAAATAAAACAAAAACAAAAAACCTCAAATTTTGTCAAATGCTTCTGTTTGCAAACAATGTAGTTTTAGTTCTGAAAGTACATATTTCTATATATGTGATTACCATATACGGTAAATGTTTAAATTTTTAAAATTATACTGCAGTAAAAGAGACATTTTCATTAATCCTCAAAATACGTTCTCTCTTGAATCGCACTTACCCTGCCCTTCTGCTGCTTTCTGCAGCAGTTCTAGAAGTCCTGTTTCTTCCTGTCTTTATCAATGTAATGAAAAATATTAGAATACTGCTGCAAAGTCCCATCCAAAGGAAAGGAAAGTTACTCAAAGCTTCGTGGTGTGTTCCCAGCTCCCTTACTGACCAGATCTGGCACCATGTGACAACGGGCTCTTCTCAGAGGTCAGAATGACTGTGCAGGGTAAATGGTTGAATTGATTCTGGATATTAAGGTAGTCCTGACAGTGCAACTCAAAGCTTTTACCAAAGAAATCCCCTAGCATTGCTTCAGAAGGTGACAGGAACAGTGAGATAAGAGGGTTCAAGGCACGGACGGGGAAGGGTTTTGATGGCGATTAATAGAAACTTGTTTTTTGCTGTAATTATTTTTCTCTCAGCTCAGAAAATGGTAATTCCATTCCTGGGTACCCAAACTTGAACTACAGGACCTTACCTACTTTCTCACTTTTCTCTCATCTCCAGTACATAATTAATCACAAATCCTCTCTTATCTTTTATACAGAACTCATATTGATCCTCTTAAAATTCTTTAAGGGTTTGTGGAGTGAAATGTCTACCATATGCAGATACTGAAGACCAAATTCCCAATATATGAAGGGAACTGGAAGAGAGGCTTATGGCAGATAATTAGATCATGAGGCTGAAACTCTGGAACACGAACTAGATTCCTGAAAAGAAAAGATGCGAGTTTGTGTCAGCTCTGTCTCTGCTCTCCTTTAGGCGAGGATACAAGGAAAAGATGTCCTTCTGCGAAGCAGGAAGACAGCCTTCTCCAGACACTGGACCTGCCAACATCCTGACTCTGGACTTCTCAGCTTCCGCAACTGTGAGTAACAAATTCTGTTATTTAAGTTGCCCACCATCGGGGATTTTGTTTAGCAGAGCAAACCAACTAGGACAAAGGGATTCTCGACTCAAGTTAGTGCTCAAATTCAATAGCACATTGTCCATGCCACTTTTTCACCTGTCCCTTTATCTTTCAAATCCTGAAAGATGTTGAGTTACATATTTTCTGTTCTTACCGAGGCCTCACACCCCCTTATCTGGCTTTTCATATTTGTATGTACAGTATATAATGTTTCTATGATTTCCTCCCCATTTCTGTCTTTAATACTCACTTCAGGATCTCTTTCTCTTCAATTCTTCTCCATCACGTCCCACATCCCCCTAGAAAGAAAACAAGTAATCTGACAGTCTTATTCTATCCTCTGACTCTAGTAGTTATGACACTGATTATGATTTTCTGTTTCCTTACTTCCCAATGGACTGGAACTGTGTGGAATAAGAAGGTGACTTGCTTGTCCTTACATGTCCACTACCCAGTGGTGGCTGACACTCAGCAGGGAGTTCTGGATGTCGCATGAATGAATGGAGATGTGGCCATGTTCAAGGTGTACATAGCTGCTGGGGCCTTGCCGTGGCTGGCATGTTCCTCCAGAAACTACCATAGGTTAAGTGTCCACAAGTTGGAAAACTTAAATACTCCTCTATTTTATATTTATCTAATGACCTAATGCTTTATTTCTGAAGAATTTTTAGCCTGCCATATAATTAAGAAGGAGTACTTTAAGGCCACTCATTTAATGTTTAATAATCCTAAATAAATGAATTAATAAAAAGAATTTGGGGGCTGATACTTTATATAAATATTGTTACTTTTCAATGTTTTTGATATCTGTGGTATTTTCAGAATTTTAAAATATTTTCTCATGTCATACCTATTTCCTAATTCTTAATAATTGTTCATGTGTATAACTAGTGTGCATAATTTTTTTTCTTTTGCTTAAAAATACCTTCAGAATTGTGTTAAGCCTCAGATCTTATAAAAGAAAGCAAAAGTATTCACTTTCTCTAATGTGCAAAATGTATATATTATTTGGAAAAAGACTAAAAGTTAGCTTTTGTTATAAATATGGGCACATTAATTAACCTCCCTCTATCTCCATATCCTTACTACAAAATCAAAAAGTAGGATTAGATTGTCCCAAGGCCCCTGAAAACTCTAAATTCTATTATCTACTTAAGCTTAATGTGTAGTTGGCTATTTTGTTCCCACCTATGGCATACATGGTTTTGCGCTGGGGTCCTATAGGTATAACATTAGGAAAACACCTGGTCTCCTTCTTTGAATCAGTAGGTAATGTACTTACATAGGGAAAAGAAGAAAGGGAGGACCTTAGGTTAAAGGATGAGAGGACATTAGATTAAAGGGCAGCAAGACGTATTGGTGATTCTGGTGGAAAAATATTAACTATGGTCAGTATAACAGGTATATTAGTCTTTAATAAATAGCTTAATTTATTAACTCACTAGGAATTTATTTAAGTATATGACTCAAGAGCTAAGTTAGCAATACAAATGAAAAAATTAACAAAGTCTATGCCTTCTAATGATTATACAAAATAGTTGGTAAGACAGAGAGGCATAAAGAAGTTCAAAACAGTCATCTGGAAAGGCTAATGGAAAGGAAGAATATGAAGTGGTGGGCTGAATATGGTCAGATGCAGAAATAATACATGGAGATAGGGAGTGAGGTGGGGATGCATCAGTATTTGGAATAAATTTCAAGCATGTAATAAAGTATGAACATGAGCTCTAAGAAGAAATGTAATTTCAGATGTTGGACTTTTTCATGGCTAAAATTTTCCAGGCAGGTGCAGTGGGTGAGGGCCACAGAGGGGATAATAGAAGACTGTGCTCAGCACATACTGTCTCTAGCTGAGAAAGAATGTTGCTACTCTCCTCCAGCAGACTCTTAGGTTGGAGAAGGCAGAGCCACCATTACACAAGGCTCATCCCACACCCACTATAAAAAGTGGCCATTCAAACATATGAGAAGGCTGTGATAGACAGCAGAGACGAATGTAAGGAGATGCTGCCCGACTTGATATCACAGCTAGAAGAAGCAAGATATGGTGGCAAGGCTATGTGATTCAGCGTTCTCATAGATTTTATTATATTCTAGTGTAATTACTCTAAATATTATTACTGCATTAGACTGCAGTTTTTCTTACAGTATTCTTAAAATACCTTCATTGGGATCAATACAGTATTCAAAACTTTTAATTTTCTCAAATTATAAGTATGCACAAAATTAGAGAAGATACTGCCATGTTCAGAATATAATGTCCACGCATAATGGTTACCAACAACTTTAGCATTCTTGTTTAATCCACCTTTTCATTCTTCAAATCCCAGGTATCTCATTCATTTACCTCTGAGAGAAAAAGACCTTTTGGGATAGAGATTTAGCTCCATGGCCTACGTACCTGCCTGGGAAGCATAAGGTCCTGAGTTTGATTCCCAATACCAAATTACAGTTTTTAATATTATCACACTGAAAAATATTACACTAGTTCCTTATAACCATTGATCAGTCTGTTTAGCATTTCTAAATTATTCTAAAAGACTGTCACTTGTAGTTTTCAGTCTTTTTGTTCAAGTCAGGATCTAAGCATGTTCCACACATTTAAAATCATTTTATGATCTCCTCAAAAATTAATTTGCAACAGACTGACTTACTGTAAAGAAACTGTGACACCCTCAATGACAAAGGCCTGAAAAGTGGGCTGTGGTTATGATTCTTTGTCATGCTTTCATTTTGGAGTCAACCTGGGTTCAAATTCAGGCTCTGCTCATTTTTGTTCTGTGATCTTGAGTTTAATCTTTGGTTAAGTTCCTCCATCTGTAAAATGAAGATGAAGAAGAAGCTGTCTCATGGAATCTTTCCTAGGATCAAATTAAAGTGTCTAATGTTAGAGGATTTAGAATAGTGTCTACTACAGGCAAGCCTTGCGTAAAGGTCTGTTAAATAAACAAACAAACATAAATACATAAAATCAGGTTGTACCTGTGACACACTAAAAGTGAATGAATTGTCCAGGGATGGAAGGAAGATCTGTTCTTAGTCCAGAAATTATGGCCACAGTACATTTTCCCACAGAATCGTGCAGATGACACACATGCGGTCACACACACATAAGAATTGCACAATTTTGTATTAGAAACAATACACACGGAATTTATAAACCAGATTATTATGGAAAGATTATTAAGCAGATTCCTTGAGCTCCGACTTTGTTGTGGGTGTGATGATCAAAGAGAGACTGGAGGAGGCTGAAGATTGGCAGGAGGTGAACATCTAGGTATTCATTACTCTGGTTCCATCCCTGCCAGCCCAGGAGTTGGCAGTGATGATTCCTCAACTGAAGACAGCAGTGCTTATTAGGCAATCCTTTCAACTAGAAGGTTCTAGAAATTGCTCCCTGTACTCTCTCTTTCAGATCTACAGGTACAGTCTCCCCATAATTATTGTCTAGCTTTAAGGTTCTTCCTTTATTCCCTGTTGACTTTCCATAATAGTCTCTTCATTAAATTTATACCACTGACACATCTGAGTATGCCATTTGTGTTTTTCCTGGATGTTGACTGGTATAGTTTAATAACAGGTAAGATAGGAAATTTGTCTATATGATGCCTTGATGGATAACAGCTACATTTAGAGAGATCTTACTCTGTGAGAGGCACTCTACTTCCAGATGTATATTCCAAGTTCGTTTAATTCTTACAATTATTCTACAGATTACAAAACGAAGGCTTCAAGAGGTTGGTTACTCCAAACTGTGCATTTAGTGAGGAGAGTTATTTAAATGTCAAAAGAGCATGTCCTTGTGGTATAGAGTACAGGCTCCAAAGTCTGACTGTCTAGATCTAAATTTTTGTGCCACTTTTATACTCTTGATTTTAGGTACATTTCAAGGGATCAATTTCTTCAATTAAAAAAGGGATAAAAATAGCACTTACTTCACAGGGTGGTTGTGAGGATGAAATGTGTTAATTTATGTAACACATTTAGAGAACTTGGCTTATAGGAAATGCCAATATATGTTTGTTCTTATCTATGAATCCAAAGCCCAAGTACTCCACTGTACTCCCTCCTATCAAAGAGAATGTACTATTTACTCACAGTGTAATGCCCTATCCCCAGGTTCAAATCTTTGGCATGATGCTCTATGTTTTGCACAGTGGAACAGTCTTTCATTTAGAAATGAGGCGCTTGTGTTATAAAAAGTAAAATAGTTTTTTTTTTTTCACTGTCAGAAATGCAAGTGTCAACAGTGTCACGGAAGTCATGGAATCGCTTGTTTTTATTGAATGAATAGAACTCATATAACATCTTAAATATCATGAGGTTTATGATTCTTTTATTTGTAAAGTATGTGTAAGAGAAATGAGAGGTTTGGCTTACAGTCTTTGTGTTGTTTTATTATACTTAAAAGAGGGATTTTTGTGGGCACTCATATGGTTAATATGTAAATAAACTTTTGCCTTAGATGACAAGTAAAGTGAATTTCAAATTGTAAGACCCTTTTTATTGTCCCAGAAAAAATAAACTTGTACAAACTTCATAAATAACCATGTACTCTGATCCTTTAAAGTCATAAGACTTTAGAGAAAAGAGCCAGTGAGAGAGTAAAATGGAAAAATATGGGAAGAGTTGAGTCAAACAATCTCAGGCATTTTAGATGTTTCTGATTTCTTGTGTTATATAAAAATATTTTGACCATGTAACAAAGTTATAAATGTATAAACCTATAATTTGTATTTCTTCATCTTGATCCAAGATAACACAGATAAAAACAATTTTTAAAAAATGCTAAATATTGTATTATAGGCATTACAGGGAGCTTTAGTAGACATAGCCCCACAATACTCTTTATTATATTCTCTGCATAAAAGTCAGAAAAACCTTGTTGTACAGAGGATTACAGAAAATACTACCAGTGTTTCATTACTATAATGAGCTTTATCAAGTCTTTTAACTTTTATGTATCTTGAACAAGTAATAGACATTTTAAAAGAATTACCATTTTTGTTTTTGTTCTTTCTGACTTATATACTTTTTTATTAATATATTTAATTATGTGCTTATCAATCACCTGACACTCAGTGTGTTGCATGCTTGGTCAGCACTGGGAATGAAAAGGCAAACAAGACTTACAGCTGTCCTCAAAATGCTCACAGTCCAGGAAGAGATCATGCTGCCAAACAATAAGCACACAACCCAAAGTTTTTATAACTGAAATTTCATAGTCAGCATATACAAAGCCAAAGAGATATACCTATACAAATTTTCCTCTTCTGGAAAATGTAAGGCTTAAAGAATCACTAAAACACAGAGGAGACCTGAAGGGAAATTTGAAGTATAGCAAAATATGTATACAGATGATAGTGCCAGGCAGGCTATTAGAGACATGGGGTTGGGGTTCAGGAAAAAACCCTGGCCCAAAAACTGGTGAGTCCACAGCATCTAGGCAGAAGGTAAAGGGATGCAGGGATGCAGAAGAGATTTCCAGGGACAACATGTTACAGAAGCACAAAGGACAATTGTTTCAACAGAGTTTAAGACAGCCTCACTCCATCAGAGATACTAAGATAAAAATGTAGTTTATGTAGCCTGAGTATGGTTCATATCCTTCTCTGAAAGCCATTTGTAAAAGGTATCTTCACTTTAAGGAAGCGAAAGAAAGTTCAGAAGAGGAAAAAGAAGCCGATATGAATTTTTGTCTTCTCTAAATAAGATGAAAAGGTGGAGACTTGGCCTTAAATTCGAAACATTTTTTTTTTTGTATCCCTACGAAAAACATGTGCCAAAAACTCGGGAAGAAATTCTGATTACAGCATATTCTTGTCTCCAAGAGGCAATAAGAGGTTTGTGAACTTAAAAGTGGGTTTGAGGCTCACTTTTAGAGAGTGATTTATAAACATATAGATTAAGTTTCCTGGTAAAATTAGGTTAGGAACCAAGGATGAAAGAGTTTACTGAGAATGCTGATGCCAAACTGTCTTGAAAAACAGAAGAGTGTTATTTACGCACCTAAATATGCCTCTGGGTTTGACTCCTCATATTATTATAGATAGTTATTGAAGAGTTGTGTAACACGTAATCAAGTGTCTGAGTACAATAGCTTTGATGAACTGTCTCTGAGTTTGATTCCTCTGATCTAATCTCCCACAGGTCTCTGCTGGCAGCTACTCTTACACCCAGATACATGAACTGGGACCACGGAGGTTTGCAGTGGGATAGTGAAGAAGTCTGTGTAGATGTCCAGATACCTTTCCATGCTGAGTAACCATCCATCTTGGTGACGTTGGGCAAATCCTAAAGTCCTGGTGATATTCATGAGCTTTGATGTTCTCATCTGTAAAATGAAAAATAAAGATTGAACATGATAATCTAAGTATCATCGGGATGGAGAATTTGTCTTGCTTTTGACCAATTCTCACCTAGAGCAAACATTCTATCATTATTCATTTAATGACCTGAAGTTACATTAAGTATGTAAGATTATCCAGCATCAAAAGATATTTAGTAGTTATTTGTGCCTTTTGAAAATTACTATTTTGACAGCATCTTCCCACCTCTTATGCTGAGGTATCTCACCATTTGCCTACATATGTTAAAGATGTCTATGAAAGAAACACAATTGGTCTACTTCCTTACACTTAGGAGACTCTGCCCATCCAAGAGAAAGCATCACTGGATGAAATATTGTTACAACCAATATTTCAGAGTTTTGCTAGTGGTTTGCAAATATTGTTAATGAGATCATTGTAGGACTAAAACCGTAACAAGTGTCAAGTCCAAAAATGTTGAGAAATACTGCCTTTAACGGTTTTCTTCATTTTTAAGCTTTTCTAAGCTTTTATTATTCATATGTGAATCATGATTCTCCAGGAGGGAAAGAATAGTTTCCCAACCCAACTTGAGTGGAGGATTCTTTCCTAACAGAACATCCCATTGTACTGAGATAATTCCTTGTGAAATGTGGATTTAATCATTAGCTAAAAGAGTATACACAGAGCAAAAGGATTTATTTTATAGGGCAGTAAAATGCTTTTTTAGGTCAGGGAAGGCTTATTTAGAAATGAGATGTGGAGTTCACATAACCCAAGACAGTCATCGAGGAAATTTCATTCCAATGAAGCAGTTAGGTGAGTGAAAACAAATGAACATAAAATAAGTATATAATAACACCTTGGGAAAATTAAACATTTCTCCATTTAACATCTGTCACATAGATAATCGTAGCAACTAGATTGATTATGGAAGAGGAAACTGTAAGTTTAAAGGGAAGCAGCTGAGTTTGCTTATATCACCTGCAAAGGGACTACTTTCTTTGGCAGATTGATATTGCACAAAGGTTTGGGGCTTCATTAAAGACTTATGGTTGAGTGGTGCAGCAGTATGTTACAGAATGTGTATGTGTGTGTGAGTGTGTGTGTGTGTTATCAGATAATATAGTGCATGATGCTATTATAAAAGAAACTGCTATTATGCATTCTGGATTATGCTGCACTTCAATTGACATCTTCATACAACAATTGTTCACTATCATGTCATATCTGTAACAAGGACAATATTATTACATGAATTATAAGATGATATATGATTGGCATCAATTGAGAACTTTTTTCTTGTGCAATTCTGTAATATTTTAAAAATTATGTGTTTTTGTATTTTCTGAAAAACCTGGTTATAGATCATGGAAGAATTCAAAAACAAATATAAAACATAAACAAAGCCAAATAACACAACAGAATTCTTAAGTTAATCTATGTCAAGGGGCCTTCACACCTGCAAATAATAATGTCTTCTTTACAAGTAAACTTCCTGCTGAAAGCAGGTCAGAGATAACAGCTGTATTAACTTGGAGTGGTTTTGGTGGGGGGAGGGGTTGTTAGTTTTTAAACAATTAGTTTTATGTTCTTTTAAATAATTGCTTCATTATATTTTGTACATCTGTGCAAGGGTCTGATGATGACATTTGGTAAATTTCCAAAAGCTGTAAAACTGGATAACACCAGTAAGCAACAGTATAACTCACCTGTAGGTTAGAAAAAAGGCTTTGTGGAACAGCTCCCCCCTAAAAAATTCCTTAAACAAAAGAACCAATTCTGTTCTGTGAGGAAACGGTTCTGCATCAGGTGAAGCTATCAGACACAGTATTCTCTTTAAGAAGACAGGCTGTAGGTAGCTCAGAAGAGACCAACAAAAATGATAAAAGGTTTGGAAAACAAGACCTGGGAGACAAGGTTAAGAACATGGGAACACTCATTCAAGTGGAAAGAGGCTGAGGGGAGATATAACTGTCTAGCTACAAGTTAAATGATGTTACAATAACAGACATTGATTATTATTATTAGCAGAAGAGGGCAGTTAGAACAAAAGAGCTGTACCCACTTTACTTCATATCAGAAACAATTCTTTAGCACAATAAACATTCATATAATGGAGTTAGCTGCTATAAGAATCTAAAGTTTAGTTGCTGTGGAATCCAAAGGAAATCCTTGAGAATAACTTGAAGCACTTTGTCAGTTTGTGTTCTGGAAAATGGCTTGTAACTCAGTCCTTTTGTAATAAATAATCAGGTGAATCCTTCCTTGCTCCTGTACTTTTGATTGGTTGAGGAAGGAAATGTGTATAAGGACTTCACAGATCCACAAATTACTCCCAAGGGATAAGCACCAAAATTCAGTGTAGGGCTGTGGATCCATCCCAGGGGTGGAAACTTTACATAATTTATGCAAGATCTTGGATTTGACTAAAAGCAGTGAAAAAAATACATATTCAAACCACACATGATTGATATTTCCATTTAAACATAATTAATAAACACAAGAATTTTTGCATTCATTCTTTGAACCACTAGGTAATGAAACTTTAAAAACTTGAAGTTATCAAAAGAATGTAGAGCTGTCCTATGATTCACAAAGTGGGTAAAAGAAACAGGATAAAACCCAGAAATGCATCCTTACTTATATACAGTAATGTACATTCTTTATTATAGAGAATTTACATATGATAAGAAAGTGGGAAGGTAAAATAAATTTTATTTTAAAATGTATTATGAGGGAAGGATGAATAATTTAAAATTTATCTAAAGGAGTTTTTTGGATAAAAATAAGGTCAATAGTTACACATGACACCAAAAGCAAGTCTTGCTTGATTAAAACAATGATTCTTAACAGCAAATAATGAGAGATAATAGAAGAGTGTTGTCTCGCAATATTCTCAAATTTTTGTCTGGTTTGGTTTTGTTTTCAAACTATACATGTTTTTCCACCCAGTGGATTTGCTATACACACTAAAAGTTACAGTCTCATCCCTGGTAAACTAAGATTAGCATAATGTAGTGGCTTTTCCACTCAGTAATTAATTTGTTGACCATTTACTATTTGATCAAGTATTATGTTAAGCAGTAGGAATAAGCATAAATAAGTGGTAAATCAGATAGGTTGGTAAAAGAGTATAAGCCCAATGGAAAACAAAAGTAAAGCACTATATGACACGTACATGTGCATGATGGGAAACCCAGTTTAAAAACTGGATGTCCAAAATAGAACCTTTTAAAATGGTGACATATGAGCAAAGATATGAAGGATTTGGAGGACTTATGGAGAACTGAGAAAATCCAGTTCCTAAGACAGGAGATTAATAAAGAGATCTAATTGCTACAAAAGCATCTTTGCCCTATCTTCCTCTTTTAGACAGAATCATATTAATTTCCTTCAACTGCTGTATTCCAGTTGACCTTGGAAGTTAGTCATTAATAAAGAATTCATTAATACTCAAAGAGCTCTATATTTGAAAAGCTAAAATCTAGAGCAAAAATTATCTAAGTGTTTGCATATAACTATGTAAATATATATATAAACTTTTACACATGTACATATATATACACACACTATACTTTTATTTTTCTCAAAGTTTACTTAGAATGACATTTGTAATTATATGCTATTAGTCCTTTGCACTATTTTTGAAAACAGATCTTGACAAATGAAAATTTAAGCCTGTATACAGTGATTCCATATCAAAGTTTAAAATATTTTCCAAACAACCATTTAGAACCAACCACACTAAGTAAGGTACCATCAGCTTTAACACAAGAAATCCTGGCAAACAATTATTTTCATTGCAGCACTGACAATTACGTAAATGTGTCTGAAACAGCAATGGGCACCTAATTATGACATCTAGTTATGTTCATTTATGTATACATCTCTTTGAACAACATTTTATTTATAAAAACCACTCATTCAAGGATAAGATAAAGTAAGGACATAAGGATCATCTATATATGAATACTTCATCTTTGCCATATGAACAGAAGTTTGTCTCTTTGACCTGAATTATCTGGTATATATGTTACTCACATATACCTTTATTTTTTCTCTGCTCTTAGGAAGGTGAACAGACATTAATGTGGCCCTGGCTAAAAAAACTGCTGATGCGTTTTCTTTTTCTAACCAAAGGGCTATCTCATCTGATCTTGTTTGGGAGGTGGACGAACTCCAGCTTGCCTCAATCCTTCTGCCTCATCCTCCCATGTACTGGAATTATAGGCATAAACAAACACCTTCAGCTGCAGCTCAACTTGTATTATTTAAGCAAAAAATCAACAAAAGTAGTTCTTTGTACTTAGCGTGAGCAATTATTCTGCATTTAAAATACAGAGAACAACTCAAGAGTACACATCACCATTCCACCACAGACTGGTTTTCTGCCATTTAGGTGTATTCCTTTATTTAACCAACTTGCCCTCTTTCCTTTCTTTCCTTCCATGTTCTCTGACGTCTTCCTTCCACTTTTGTTCCACCTCCTTTCCCTTCTTTGTCTTCTAAAACTGGCGGCAGTTATCACATATCTCAGGTCAGTTCCCTGGACACAGAGCCTCAAGAGAATTGTCGAATTAAGTGATTTGTGGAGGGGCTGCTCTCAGGCAAACAGAGGAAAGAAAGCAATGTGTGTCTGTGGAAGGAACTAAGGGGGTGTTCGCTGGAGTCCTAGCCAGAACACGGGCAGCCTGTGAGGGCCGTTCAGAGACAAGGAAGGTGCTGATGACTTGGGCATTTGTCCAGGTGTAGTGGGAGCAGAGGCCCAGGCCCTGGAAACCCCTGGGACCAGCAGATTCTCACTGGACCGGGTCGCCCAGGATGCCCCTCCTTCCCTGCCCCAGGCCTGGCACGTACAGAAACAGGGACTGCCAGGGACCTGGACGAGGTACACACAGTACTCTGAAGACTCCACAAATGATAGGTTTGTATATTATTTTGATTTTCTTTAGAACTTAAAAGATTGTCCATCCTAGCACAAAAACGTATTTCAAATTTGAGCAATTTGAAATTAAACTTTTAGTTGGGGATTTAGCTAGTGGCATGAGCACCAGGCTTGGCAAGC